GGTTTTCCCCGTCCTCCTCTCAGGATTTAAAGAGGCAAGACCCCCCCCCCAAAAAAAAGCAATATGATTTGAATTCAGAATATTGCTTCTAGATTGGAATTGCTATATGGAGGACGTGAGTTGCCCAGACTACATGTCCCCTGCATATTTCTTCCGTATCTCTGTCATGGGTCCTTACCTATAACTACAGAATGAACTCTTCCTAACACTATGTATACTACGCTTCTCAAGAGAGAGGGTCGAATCGAGCCGAGCTTCTCGGCTTGACGGTCGAACTCTCTGCCTCTGAGCAGAGAGGAACCCGGACGAGGCTCCGCCGAAGGGCAGAGTGTCGTTCAGGGAGGTTGACCAACCCGATCCCGTTCATACGGGTTCTACGAGCATTTTTTTGGCCGAGCCTACGGGCTAGGGAAACCCACATTAAACTCGGCCTCGTGCCATATGCAACCCTCGTGTGGGGGTGGCTAGATACCGAATCGAGTCGAGCCGATAGTAGTTCACTCCAAACCAGACTGATAGTCATACTAACACCTTCAATATCTTGTATTATTATTTCGTGTAATATACCTTCGTTATTTCTACTCTTGTGTTCGTGTTGTTCTTCCTTGGTTCTAACCTGGACCATAGCAATCGCCAAGGGCGAAAGAAGTAGAGGGCAATACATTTGGGGACGCTGCATGAGTGGCTGAAAGGTTGTCATTCAAGCGAATAGCCTTTGGGGCTCCACTCCCAGTTTTCTGTCTATATTTATTTCTATATCCTTGTCCTTGTTTTCGGATATGGCCGCAAAGCAGCGGAATTTTAAAATCAGGGATTTCCTTCTGTATCAAATGCCTCCCTGCGAAGCGGAGCTCTATTTTCACGCCGCAGCTGATTAGGAAGGACCAGTTTTCCACCTTCGGCCATTCACCGGCTTGAACCTGGAATTCCATTCACAAAGTTGTGTTAAGCCGTGGTATTGCTTTCAGGCACTATCTAAAGATGACCACCCTGACAAATCGTCTATGGTCAGATTCGAACCTGATTCTATTTAGTCACCCGCCACTTTACCTGAAAATTAATTCCTCATCTTATGTCCAGGCAAAAATGTCACACACTAATACTATGTTTTAAGTGGCTCTTACGCAATATGCAAGGTTGAGCTGAAAAGTTTACACGATGACTAAAAAGATGTGATGCTAGAGATGGGAAATTTGCATACATTAATTTAAATTTTCATTAATAACTGCATTATATCTTTCCAGGTAAATTGACATGTAACTGTAAAAATAAGTATAAACCTCAACTACAGCAGATACATCATCATCACTGCGAAAACGTTTCCCAAGCGTCTTTCTTTTTCATGATTGGAGACAGATGATAGTCGAATGAAGAGAATAAGGAGTGTAATCAACCATTTCAAGTCACCGTTACGCACAGTGACCATTGAAACCAATGGCTAGTGTGCTGGATCATTGTTCTGTTAAAACAATTCCCCTTAACTCAATTTTCCTGAGTGTTTGATCTTCATAGCCTTGCATACATGTTTTAACAAATTGGTATAGTATTCTCCATTTATGGTGAGGAAATGTCGATGGTATTAAAAAATATAGCCTTCCCAACCCGAAATATTGAAACAATCCGATTCCGTGCAGATGAAGCGACGTTGGCCTTCTTTGGAGCAGATGAGTAGCGGAGTTTCCACTGCATGGTTTGTCTCCAACTCAAAGTGATTAACCCAACACACATCATGGATGAGGAAACGTTCAAGGAAACAAGATGCATCTACATCAAACAATCTCAGATTTTCCCATGATATTATCAGCCAGTGCACTTTGATTAGGTGTCAAAAGACGTAGAATCCATCGAACAAAAACCTTTCTCAGTCCGTCCTGGATATCACGATAAACTACATCCGCGTCCTGGGTAAGACAATAAACTACGTCGAACAGCAAGGCCTCTGATCAGGAAGTTTTTTGGGAGAGTGGAACCACCTCTTAATTGCTAATTTTCCCAGATCCACCCTGACCCGGGGTGGTAGCATCTGTTAGGGTCCTAGCTATGGCAAATAGTTCACCCCCAATCTGGGGTCAAAACATTATGAAAGTGTAAAAATATGTTTTAATACCAGAAATACTTAGTAAAAAAATATTATCAGCAATACATTTTTGAAAAAAAATATTACCAGCAAAGGAAAATTCTTACAATAAGTAGATATTTGAAGGAAAAAATATTACCAGAAATAGATTTTTAGAAAAAAGAAAATAATACCAACAATGAAAATTTTGTCGGCAAAAATAACCCATTGTGGGTGATATGCCGTAAAACAAACCAAAACAAACCTTTCTCAGTCCAAATTAATTGTGCATAATTTTCTCAACTCTCTAACGGGAAATGCTAAGAATTTTTACTTTTAGATTTATAATGAATCGGCCATCATACAGCAAAATGTGTTGAACCGGGTCATGTCTTCCGACGTGATTGTAGTCGCAAGGCATCCAGAGATTGCGTCATCTTCAAGTCTCTTCTCTCCCCTCCGAAATTAACCTACCTACTTTTGCGCGGTTAAAGCTCTAGCGACATCCCCTAATGCAGTAACCATGTCAGCATGAATGCCCTTGGCGACTAAAACCATTTTCTGTACCTTCTTGATAGAACTATCATGCAAATTTTGTCCATGTTCAAGAAAAGTCGCTAATTGTTGAAGTTTTCTTTGAAAGGTCAAACGTCAGTCTATCCTGGAATAAAAGAGCAGTTATTAATAAAGAATTGAAATTAATGCATGCAAAAATTCGATCCCCTAGCATCAGGCATTCATAGTCGGTCTATGAGTTTTTCAGCCCATCCTCGTATTTGGAGAACATTGAAAAGAATCGCAACCAGAATATTCGCCGTAAATATTTTTGCCGTAGGAAAACTCGCCTCAAGAATTTTCCATACGGGTAACTTCGCCGTATAGAATTTTGCTGTAAGACAATTTCGCCGCATTTTTTTTTTTTTTTTTTTTTGATGCCCTCATCTTGATCGTTCCTTTTGGAGTAATGTTCAATTAAATATGCGAAGTACGTTGTTATCAATTCTATATGGATGTCTTTTTTACAGGGTAAAACATTAGAAAAGAAATTAAATAGTAAACATTTATTTAAAAAATAAAAAGACTAAAATATATCTAAATAACAAAGAAATAATTTAGAAATTCCAAGGAATGCTTCGTAAATAATGTGTTTTTTTGCGTTGGACTGCAATGAAGCCTATTTCTGCTGAAGTATCGCACTGATATCAATATATATCTTCTTCATTTCTACTGCATCTCCTCGATCTAAATCAAACATTTTTTGCTAATGTCTCCTTTTAAAATACACACTTAGTTCCCCAAATCTGTGCGCATATAAGTATAACTTTCATTATTAAAATATTGAAAGCGTTACAGCTATAATGTAATAAAATAATAGCCGGCTACTCGTATTGGAGGATGCCCGCCTACTAAGGCGGCTAGCCAATCCCGATTGCAGACACTAGCTCAGGCCCATTTGTGTCTTCTCAACATTTCTGTATGCACAATATCCACAGAGCTCACCTGTAATTTATACTGCAACTGCAGACCTTAGTTACAGTTTCTGGGAGAGAGCGTGTTGTCTAACGTGATCAATAATTTGAAAAAGGCCACTACGCTCATGCCCTCGGTCAGGGTGACTTGTGGCACAGCTATCGACTGTCTCGTCTACCCAGTTTCAATCATAATGCTAGAATCAATCCGTGGTATGGTTTTCAGGCCATTTATATATATATATATATATATATATACAAAGCATATGTGAGTTTGAATATTTTGATTAGCGTATATACTAAGTTCGACTAGGGATTAATTTTTTCACTTTTCACTTTGTCTGTATTCATATATTATATATATATATATATATATATATATATATATATATATATATATATGAATACAGAAAAACTATAATACTAATTTTGACTATGGATTATAGTTTTTCCATTTTTCTGTATACATACATATATATATATATATATATATATATATATATATATATATATATATATATATATATATATGAATACACAGAAAATGAAAATTATATTCTTTAGTCTAACTTAGTATATACGCTAATCAAAATATTCAACACGCCTTTTATATATATATATATATATATATATATATATATATATATATATATATATGTGTGTGTGTGTGTGTGTGTGTGTGTGTGTGTGTGTGTGTGTGTGTGTGTGTGTGTGTGCGTGTAATTAAAGCTGTTGTTCATGTGACCACCACCAACTGCCTGTTTCTTACGTTTTATTGCACGCATTCATCAGTCAGTATTGTTCTTTCGGACCTGATTACGCGCACATAAAATAAAATATATTGGGTCGGAATTAAAGTTTATTGCCTCGTCAAGTGAAATTTAATAGATAACATTTAGATATTCCTACAAAAGATTTATTCAACTGCATATGTCATAATTGTTCAACTACATTTTGCAATACTTGCGACAGTTTGCTTAATTTAATACACCTGTTCCTTTTCGTCGAATTTTCGTCTGATTTAATGCTGGCCATATTTTCAATGCTGGCCATTCGTTCTCGATACTTTCTACTTTCTAAATTTCTTTTCAATGCTGACAAAACTATTCATTTTCGAGGTTAACCGTTTCTTTTAATGTTGCCACGTACTTTTCCAATGTTACGCATCCTTTTCACTTTTTTAAGTCTTAAGACTTTGTTTATCCTGTGTTTTTTAAATGATACTTTATTATCTTTTATTTGTATTTTGGATTTCGCAGGTCCTCGATTTTGCATTTTAAGAAGGCTATTATAAAACACCTAATTGAAACTGTCATGTATAGAATCCTTTTTCTCCTTGAAGTCTTTAATTCTTTGCTTCTTTTCATCGTGTCTGCTTCAAGAATTATAGAGATTCCTATACCATTCCAACTCAGTGATTCTTATAACATTTCATCTCTCGGTGATTTTGTATTTAGAGAGTACCCTAAGTGGAGATGTTTCTCTTTCCATTTATTCGTTACGAATATTGCATATTTCTTCTTCTTTTCTGTTTGACTACATTTTTTTTCTTCTACATTTTTATTTTTGCCATTCCACTTTTTGCTTTCGCCATTAGTTTTCCCCCTTTTTTTCTGTTTGTTGTTCGTATTTTAATTTTTTTTATGTATTATTTTGCAGTTTTATTTTTTTTTTTTTACAATTTTTCTTTTAAACAGTTCTTCTTCTTCTTCTTCTTCTTCTTCTTCTTCTTCTTCTTCTTCTTTTCTCTGTTCTATTCATTTTTCTTTCTTATTACCTCTTTTATTTCTAGCTCTTTTTCGGATTCTCCTTCTTCTTTTCTTTTCTCTTTCCGCTTCATTTCATATTCCTTTTCTTCTTTTACAATTTTTTTTCTTTTTACAGTGTAACCCGGATATAAGAGACCCGGATATAAGAGAAACCCAGATATAAGCGAGATTTTCTCTGGTCCCAAATTAGAGCCCATACTTACCTAAACAAAATAGACCAAACTCGGATATAAGAGAAACCCTGATATAAGAGAAACCCGGATATAAGAGACTTCTTCTCCGGTCCCGACAACTCTCTTATATCCGGGTTACACTGTACATTTTATATTCGTTCTGATTTTCTTCTTCTTCTTCTTCTTCTTCTTCTTCTTCTTCTCTCTGTTCTATTCATTTTTTTCTTATTACCTCTTTTATTTCTAGCTCTTTCCAGATTGTTCTTCTTTTCTTTTCTCTTTCCTCTTCATTTTATATTCCTTTTCTTCTTTTAATTTTTTTTTATATTTTAAATTCGTTCTGATTTTCTTCTTCTTCTTTTTCTTCTTCTTCTTCTTCTTCTTCTTCTTCTTCTTCTTCTTCTTCTTCTATTCTAAACATTTTTCTTCCTTATTCATTCTTTTTTTCTGTCTCTATCCGGATTCTTCTTCTTCTAGTTTTCTTTTCCCTTTCCCTAATCACTTCCTATTCTTTTTTATCTTTTTATCTATTTCTTATATTTCATATTCAATCTGATATATTTCTTCTTCATCATCTTATTCTTTTTTTCTTCTTCATCATCTTCCTCTTCTTCTTCTCTTTATTTCATTTTTCTTTCTTTTCACTTTATTACCTATTCATTTTCTTTATTTTCAGACCATCGATTTTGATATTCTGTGTTCTGTCTGTCCATCTATCAATATATTTCACATTTTCTTCTTGTCGTTTAATCCTTTGTGGAATTTCTTCATTTTTTGTTATATTAATCTCCCAGATATTTCTTATTTCACTCTAGCTTTGTTTTTTTCTTTTTTTCTTTTTTTAACTTTCTCTCTTCTTTGTCATACAATTGTCGGGCTTATTTTCTTCAAATTTGTTTCTTCCTCGTTTGAAATTCTTCGCATTCCTGTTTTTATATCAAACATTTAATATACAGTTTTTCAACATATTAGGTACTAGCAGTAGAGCCCGGCGTTGCCCGGGGATGTAACAGTAAGAGATAGAACAAGTATCGACCATCATAAAGACTGAAAAATAAAATTGACAAAGATTATTGTTTAAGGTTGACGGACACGCATGTCTTAATTAGTTTTTTGTTTTGGTTTTTACGAATTGGCCAAACCCAAACTCAAAAAAAATATTGTTTTCAATCGTTATGAATCTACCGATTGAATAGAATTTTATTATAAACTATTGTCTTGTAAATGGAATTTTTAAAGCATTCTGAATGTAAAAATAAAGAAAAAAAGGGTGCAAGACAATAAGAAACATTACCTGCCAAAAAAAAAGTGAAATTTTGTTGAAATCGATTGAAAAATGTACGAAATCCGATCCCATATATAAACACACACACACACACAACTTGGGTTTTATAATAAATATAACTCGATATGAGTTGTCCCCCTTTCATTCTCGGGATACCTCTTAATCATGTTTTCAAATTGATTTCGTGCAAAAACAATTGCGTTTTTCCAATTTTTGGCGCTGTCAGAACGACCGCAAGGTAATTTTACGTAGTCCTGTGAAGTTTTGTTGAAATCGGTTGAAAAATGTAGGAAATCCGATCCAATATATAAACGAACAGACAGACACACACAACCTGGGTTTTATAATAAGTATGATGATACTGTAGTCTATCAATTTTCATATTCGTTCTCAATGTGGTTTTACCTCTTTTTTGAAATAGTTTTTCTTTTCAACATCTTTTTGCTGTTTACTATTACCCAAATGCGTTTTCTCGTCCAGGATTTTTAAAATTAATAATAATAATAATAATAATAATAGTATTATTTATCCTTTTTTACGCACTGAAAAGAATTCCATTTTTTACCACTTTTCACCGCCTGCTTCGTTTCACGAACAGACCACCAACAGTGGAACCACAACTGTCGGTTTCACAAGCTTCCGAGCGGTAGGAAAAGCTGAGCGGGCGTACACAGAAACCACATCGGCACGTACTTATATGCACTCACACACAAACACGATGTGGTACAGAATACGAAACCTGACTGTTTGATCTAGATGTTTCGAATGGCACTCGTGACAAAAGCCTACGTCTCTTCCTCTTCAACCCTTCCACATTTCTTGTTTCCTTACGTCACTTTTATATCCTGGTCCACGTAAAACTCTTCACTAACTTCCCTTGGCAAGCGATTACTTGTCAACACTGACGTCTATCTTCGTTTATCTACAATGAGTTGGGCAACTTGTTTACTGCCAAAACCCTATTGAACAATTGCCAACGACCATTAGTTGACGCACTGTGTCACACATACGGAGTTTTTTGATGGTTGTAGTTTTGCTTCTCTTCGTTTTGGAATCGTTTGAATTCTTTTCTCAGTTGTCTGACTTGTCTCTTCCAATTTTGTGTGGTGCTTGTGCCTGATTAAAAGGTCGATTACGAATGTCTTGTAGGAAAATATCCAGAACGTCCGGCTCGATAAGGAAAGAGGAGAAAGATTTGAACACTTTTAAAGTAAATGTCTTTAAGGAAAATAAGTTAGAAGCATATTAATTAACAGCAACACCTTAAACAGTAAAACAGTTAAAAAGTTCAGCTTTTTTTAATTTTTTATTCAAACTAAATTTAGAAATTATGAATTTAGAAATTATTAATTTTGGCCGTGCCTTTAAAACTCAGTAAATTTAAAAAGAAGTTACTCCAAAATTCCCTTGAGGATGAAATGGAACTAATGTCTTTAATTTAATTACAAAATTAAATTCGAAGCTTTTAGCTTCCATTTTTGAAACATGGTTAGAACTGTGTAGCGAAAAAAAAAAACAATTTACATTGAGCACTATTTTTGTAAAATAAAATATCTCTAAGAACACCGGATTATGTATCTTACTGTTCTTTATATATATATATATATATATATATATATATATATATATATATATATATGGACAATCGTAAAATAATACTTAGTCCTTGACAACGCGTTTCGTCATACAACTTTATTAAGGCAAATATTATTGTCCGATCTTCGATGTTATTCAATTCTAAGAACTTTCACACAAAAAGAATTTTAAAATTGTACAGTACATAACGTTAGCATTTTTCGCTTCACACATAAATATTTAATTTTCAGATGTACACACCAATTTTGTTTTAGAAATATGATGAACACAAAAAAGACTCTGATGAGTATATTATCGTGATATCGAGTGTTGTCGAAATACAATGAGTATGCAGCAACTTGGTAAATTTCTTTCTTACTTTAATAATGATAGTATGAAATGTGTCCGTAATTACGAGAGGATCTTGGTAAAAATGATTAGGCACAGATTGTCTATATTATTTAATGAGACATCAAGTTGTGCTGCATCTACCGCAACATCTTCCTGATATTCCATATGAGTAACGTTCTGTTGAACGTCATCAACAGAAAAATGGAGGCAATGTATGCGCAGAAAAGCAGGCTGTATTTGTGGAATGAGCAAGGAGCCAAAAAGCAAATGGTCAACATCTTGATGGTCATAGGGAAATGCGAAGTTATTCAAACTTTCCTGTACTTCATTAACTACACTGCAATCAGCTGTAACAAACGATGGCGGAGATGGAGCTCCCACATCATATAGTCCGCCTTATCTGCAGTCCCTATAGAGATCGGGAATCCTCTTGGGGATAAGAGAGTGGTTTCTATAGGACGAGGTGTTAGGGTAGGATGTATCGTATCACCGATATTGTTCAACACATATAGCAACGATGTTATGTGAGATAGGTTAGAGAGGGAGAAGGTTGGAGTCAACGTGGTAGGAGGAATATTGACAACATCTGGTTTACTGATGATACAACCCTCTTCTCGATATCCGATAATGTCCTGGTGACGTTTCTGCATGCTGTAAATGATTCCATTGCCCAGCGATGTCTTCTACTAAACACCAAAAAGACTAATTTAATGGTGATTGCCAAGGGCCATACATACTTCTTGTTGGATGATGAGGGGATAGTGGTTTAGAAAAATTGTGTACCTTGACTCCACCATCAATAAACAAGGCAGCTTTACGCAGGAGATCAAGAGAAGGCTGGCAATAACGAGAAATACTACGACAAAAAATGAGAAACATCTGGAATAGTCGGAATATAAACATCAGCCTAAAGTTGAAATTACGACGAGCCACTGCTTTCGTCATCGCCAGCTAAGGAAGTGAGTCATGCGCACTGGCCAAGAGGGAAAAACACCGGTACGTTCTTTTTCGATAGGTGGCCATATCACAGGCCATGGATGCACTGATAAGTAGGTGTTAGATACCTCAGAAGAAGGTACGTATTGAACGTATGGTTCTCATATCAAAATGCAGGCACGACATTAATCTTTTACTAGATTACTTCAAAATCGACAAAGGAAAACGAACAAGAATGTACGAAAATAAATAAAAAGAATTAAACAAAAACGCAAAATAAAGTAATCCAAGCAAATAAATAATTAAATAAATTAAGTAATAAACAAATTAACAACACACATATGCACAGATGAATACAAGAAAATGTAGTAATAACAAACAATAATAAAATTAATATAAAACTACAAAACTGCATCCGTATCCACAATTATTCCCATTCAATATTTCATAGAATAATTCGAAACAGCCCACCAAAATAACCGTTAGAATACCCACAATGCAATACATTAGACTACCCACAATGCAATACAATAGAAAACCCACAACGCATCACTAAACTGTATATACAGTGAAGCAAAAACACAACGCACATGGCCTGACGGTAGTGTTTAGCATGAAACAGACTGTTGCCAATATTGATTCAATGTCCACTTTAATATTTACATTCGCTCTATCTCTGATATGAACCAATAAATATAACACACCTTAAAACGATATTCGATCACACATGCGCGCGCGCTCGCACACACACACACACACACACACACACACACACACACACACACACACACATATATATATATATATATATATATATATATATATATATATATATATAGATTGGGTTACCAGATAAATTGGTACGATTTTTCAATGATATTTTAATATTTTATTTTTTTTCATGATCTTTATAACTGTATTCTTCTTTTATCCCATTGGTTTATCGTTATTCTAAATTTTATTACATTTTATCTCTATTGGACTTACATTCCCACCGCTTTGATGTGGCATCCTTGTGTCTTTTCCATACATATGTTTGGGGCAATTGTTCTAATGTGTTTCCACCTTGCCACCTGTACAAGATTGCCAACAAGGTCAGAACGTTTTACTTTAGAAATAGTTAGATTCAACCGTATGTTCTATTCTATAAGTTTCTTTCCTCGCACTTGTCGGCTTTGGGACTCTCTTCCGGTTGCTTCCTTCCTTGTTATGTACGTTCTTCAAACAAAAATTTAAAGGTAACGTTAATCGCCATCTTCTGTCAGATCAAACCTGCTCTTGTATTGTCCTATCTCTTCAATAAAGTTTTCTCATTTCATTACACGCTGAGTAACCAATTGCGTCTTGGTGGCATTATCAATGATTAACAAAAACAAAAATGACCGTTCAGTATCTGTCTATATTTCTGT